AAACTAAGGTACCTTTAAAATAAAACCCTATCCAAGATGGGTAAGGATGCCATATTGAAGGATTAACATGAAAACAAAACACTCACCCCTGTGAACTTATTGCTGGCTCACTCCCACATGTCTCAGCCACAGAGACAACTGGTGTTCTTGGTGGTAAACTTAGACTTGGTCTTCGGTCTGAATGACTACGTCTGATGAATGGTCGAGGTCCATGAACAGATACAGGAAACCTTCCACGATTTCCCGAAGGACGTGAGACAAAAGACACCCCGGTAGAGATCCATGCTTGAGGGGGTTGAGGAATGGAGGCTTCAAACAGGGATGGGGACACAGGGCAGAAGACTGAACGGGCATTACTGATCATCCGAGCACTAGATGAGTCTTCACTACTATTCTCTCTTGACCATCTTTGAACTTTTGGTGAAGCAGGTGGAGAAGGTGCTTTGAAAGGGAACGAGGAGGTTGAGTTTGAGTTGAGGATGTTTTGCTTTGTAACAGGTGGGCTAGGGAGCCTCCTCTGAGCTGCTGGAGGTGTGGAGAGTTCCCTATTAACTGGGGGGCTAGTTGAACTTGGTGGGGTAGGTTGCCTTTTAAAGTTATGGGGACTGGGAAATCTCCGATATAAACTGCTTGGTGTAGAAGGTGTGGATGGTAACATTCGACTCCTAGACTTAGTTGGGGTGGCAGGTGGTTGGCTATTGACTCCTGAAGAGGGAGGCAATATGGACACTGTATTGTTGGGTCCAGGCACTGATCGGTTGCCACCATCTTGAAAGCCTACTAATCCTTCTTGACTGGAAGGTGAATTGTTTTCTACATAACTTGTTGATGATCTCTCTATCTGAGAGTTTGAAGAGTCTCTTGGTTGTGTAGTCTTTCTTGCTTGATGGTGAAAAGAATGATTTTCTTTTCTTGGGTCTGCCTCCAGTTGGGCATCTTGTTGGCTAAAGTTTGATGGAGTAGACGTGTCCTGTTGATCTGCTCTAGCAAGAGAAAGCTTAGAAGCTTGTGGTAAGCCTCCTTTGCTTGGCAGCACTGTCACTGACTGAACTGAGGCCCTTAATTTTTGCGATACAACAGTCCTTTTTAACAGAGGCGACTTTCCAACTTTTGTTGCCCCATCATCTGCTGTACCAGCTGTAAGATTCTTGGCACCCTCAAAGGAATTGTCCATTAATACTTCCAGTGGAGGCGGGGGAAGACTATCCAGATCTAAATCATCAGTTTTCTCAGATGAGATGTATTCATGCCTACAGCTAGTTATCCCAGCACTTAGCACGGCTTCCACATTTCCTAAACCAGGTAACACAGGAACACCACACTTCCGCACTCCAACGAGAGGCCCCAGAACTTTAGGATTATCAAGTTCCTCTATTCCTTGACTAAAGGTATCAATCAGTTTTTTGACTGAATTCCTGCCTCTGTGAAGACCTGATGATGGCCTTGGTGATGAAGGAGGGCTAGGGGGTGGTGTGGCTCTCATAGGACCCTTGGGTGTTTTTTTGTTCTTTTGTGTATCGTCTTCCACAACACTGGCTACCACCGTTTTTTTATTGTTGCTCCTTATTAAGTCCACTTTGCCTTTAAGTTGTTGGGGATTGCTGCGCTTTTCTAAGGATTGCAGTTTGCGATTTATTGCTGGAGACTGTGCTGGTGAGCTTCCTTGATTTTGCTTAGATGGAGCTGTCCTTGCGTTTACTCCTGTTTTGCTTTTACCCATCCTCTGCAACCTCTGGTTTAAATCCTTCTGAGTCCTTTCTAGTTCGAGCAGAGTAGGATCTTCACCTTTGCTCCGTAGAGATTCTGCTGACCGGGAACGTTGCTGTCTAGCCACTGTGGTCTTTTTTACTGATGCCTTCTGAACAGGTGCTGCTGTTTGAGGCCTCCTTGGACATCGTTCCTCCTCATCTGTCCACTGGCGTCTACTGGTTTTGGGACTGCCTGCTACCTTTGATTTGGCACCAGCATTCTGTGATGGGACAAACTGTATCCTACCACTTATAGCATTTTTCATTTTGAGAGTCATTTCTACATTTTGAGGATTCTCTATGCGCTTTGGGAGTAGGCGACGTGGCTGCTGTTCTTTTTCGACAGGTGAAGAATTTGATCGCGTTCTAAACCTAACATGAACTACTCCCATGCCTTTCTCCATTTCCTCTTCATCATCATTGTCATCTTCCTCCCCATCATCTAAAGAGACTGATCCTAGTAATGAATCTCTTCGGTCATTAGCCCTTATGGTGCATGTAGAATCTAGTGAGTTGAGAGAGGTGAGGGAAACACTTGGACTTATTTGACTTAGAAACGTTTGCCTTGACACCCCTTGTGAAATGTTAACAGGTGTAGTTCTATTTGTTCCAGTGGACTCACAGCTCTCTCGTCTATGGCGTCTATCAAATCCAGAAAGCGATTCACTTTCAGCCCCAATGCCACTGTCCTCACTAAGCAGAGCAGAGTCCTCTGGCCCAGGCTTGCGCAGAGAGGCCATTTCAATACGAGATAACAGTTGCATTAGCCTAGTCTCTACTGTACGTTTGGCTTTCAGTTTCTCCTCTAAAAGCTCTGAAACTGAGGCAAAGTAATCCACTGCCTCCTCCAAAGCAGAATCCCCGATTCCACCAACAGTCTGGCTCACATTTCGCATTCTCTGTGTGGTGTACTGAAGCAGCTGCTGCAACAAATCCGGTGGGGGCTCAATATTAGCAGAGCCAGACTTCAGAGGTGGAGAAGATGAAAGATTTTTCATTTGACTTGTCCAAGCAAGATGTTCTCCATTTTCTTTTAAAACTTTTTCTCCCTCATCTGCTACCTCTTCCAGGCCCTGAATTATTTCCTCGTAGCGTAGGGCCATAAAAGCAACCATAGGCTGCACAGAAACCTGAGTTTGGGTTGCTTGTTCCAGAAGTCCAAGCAGAACATCATACTTGTTTATACTTGGATTTAAAAAGGCATAAGCAGCTTGGTGAGCTTTTACCAGAGGTTCTGGGAAGTCCACTTTGTTCTCTGTGTATAGCTTGTCTTTGTCTTTCTTTTTAAGAATTTTCCCACCCCTGTTTTTCTTTGTTTTTCTGCCAGACTTTTTCTCGATTACATCCTGCGTGTCATAATTTTTCTCTTTTCTCTGGGACACTGTGTTGTTGTCCAATCCTTGACTCCCCAGTTTATCCATGTTTACTGCTTCTGGTGCAAGCTCAGTAACAGATCTCTTTTTTTGTGGGGTCATATGTGCCTCCTTTTGAAATACCTGGGTTTTTCCAGCTGTCTTCCACTCCTTTGAATCCACATCTGTAGACAGAGCTGATTTTCGAAGATTTCCATCTTCAAGCAGAGACTGTCTGGGACTTTCTTGAGGTGCAGCCAGCAGCATTCTGCTCTTCCTCAGGGAACCCAGAGTCCCAAAATTGTTACCTTTGGATGGTGAGCAGCCCATTTTAAATGTTTTTTTAAAAGAAGCAGATTTTTATGTCGTCTTGGAGACTCCAGCACTGCAGAGCCGACAGCGTAGTAAATGATGGAAAGAATAGTCACTGTCCTTAGCCATCTGCTGTATCTGTCAGTTTCAGCTGACTGAGGTTGTTGAATCTGACAAAAGACCTTTCCAGGAGAAAGCTGACAAAACAAAACATTGATAAATCCATTTCACAAATCCCTTCCAAAAGTCATAGATAGGAAAAGTAAATCCCCATATTAGTGGTCATGTTTATAAAAAAAGATTCCTTGTTGGGTGCTCTCAAACATCCCTCTGTATCTTGCAAAGAACAAGCAGCTGAGAGGATTAGTGGGGCTTTCAGTGAACTCCCCAGCGTGCACATATGTCACGTTAAAGCATATAAAACTCACCTACTTGTAAGTCTGTAAGCTCATTTGTGTAATGAGGGCTGGCCTCAGGTGGCTTTTTATAGCCGACAAAACAATATCCTCCCATTTTGAACTAGAAGAAAATCAACTCCATCAAAATAAAGGTGAAAGTATTTCACTCTCAAATGTGCTAGAAAACATGCTTTGATTGTTATGGTCTATCATCATCTTTATGATATGGAAACAACATTATGTCATTATAAATCTGTTTATGGACGCTTGTGTTTACATTGGCCATATTACCCAAAAGACCTAAATGCTGTCATTCAGTTATATTTGGAGATTATGTGTTTGTCTTTTGAATTAAATTAAATTAAATTAAAGTATAGCATCAGATCATTGGAGCAGTGAGGCTTTTAAAATAACACAAACTATTTCCTCTGGGTGTGTGGACACCAATTGAAATAGAAAACGAAAAAGTGTTTGCAATCTTTTTTGTTGGGACTTTCTTTTGTAATTCTCCAAAGAAAATGACAAAAGATTAAATCAAATGACCAGGAAAAATCTAATTAAATGAAATTGCACTAAATTGTATTGGGATTGACCTATTTATATCTTATATATCCATTTGTTGCACTGCCCCATCACTAGCCTACATCCAACATTTACAATAATTTAACAGTATGTATTTCAAATGTTACTTTATTCACCATCTGCTCTGTGTCCTGCTATCATCATAATATGTCACTTGTACATGCACAATAATCCTTATAATGTGTTATCTCAGGTATGGTGTAGAAGACATCTGATTATTCATACCAGGTCCTTCATTTCCTACTTGGGAGCAGGTGTTATTCACATATGACTTTCTACAACTTTGCATACACATTTTAGGCTTCCACCAAGAGAAGGGAGGTTCTGTGAGTCTTTTGTAGCAGGAGGGTCAGGGCAGGCTTTATAGAGACTCATTAACCTCAGCATTAACAAAATGTCATAGTCACAGCAACAATGTAAAGGTTTGTTCAGCCTATAAATATCCATGAAACCAATGCAAAACATTCCTGCTTCGTTCACTGCTGCTGTTGTGTACCTGAAGAGAAAATAAATGAGGGGCGGAATAAGCGCGCGCGTCCCCGCATGCAGGTGTGCGAATGACGCGGGTCGAGAAGCGCGTGCTCGGGGCTCGGTCTCCTGAGGTCAGTGTGTGGAGGTGATGGGTGCTTTCTTTCCTCCCGCCCATTAAAACCTGTGAATGGTGATGTTCCTGTTCGCTGCTGTCACGGACCGAGTTCTCCTCAGTGTCTAACAGTGTCCGGAGTTAGTTCACTCTTCAATCTGTCAGGTTGGATCGGTTTAGTTGCTGGTTTCTGTCTCAGCTTCAGCCGCTGGAGTTTAAAACGAGCTCCGCGGATGTGAGGACGTGTTTGAGGTCTGTTCTACAGTAAACCTTCACTTCTTCCACTGTTAATGTTCTTACTTTATTTTACACCTAACTTCCTCTTTGAGGATTGAGTACTAGCTCGGACACAGGGTTCACACCGCGATGAGATAAAGTCAGAGTTAGCTTCTTAGAGCTGGCAGCAGTTAGCTGTTTAGCTTGCTAGCTTAGTGTCTGCTCGTCATGATGAACTCAGACTGAAGTAGAGAGACAGTTCAGCTCATATCTCCGCCAAGGCCCAACAGTCTCCTTAAATCCAAACAAGCTGCTCCACATCTCACACAATCAAAGATGTCAGTCCACTGAGTGTGTTTTCATCAAGATCCGTGAATTACCTCCTGGGAAATCTGAGAAAACCTGTTAGTTTTTCCAATCTACTTCTCGTTGATGTCACGTTGACATTTTTGTAATGCTTTTACTCAAGTCCCTGTGCTCACACTCAAATATAACCTGCTTGTTCTCCAGCAATTTCATTTGTCAACACCTTCACCTGACTTCCCCCAAAATGTAATGGGTTCTTCCCTGACCCGTGCTGCATCCCTCCACCAAGTTTAGTGGAAATCAGTTCTGTTGGTGTTGGGTTATCTTGCTTGAAAAGCAAAGAGCACACAACCAGATGGGGATGAAAACATAACCTTGATGGATGTAACTACTTTGTGTATGTTACACAAATGAGGGAAAACTGTGGGATTCCATCCATCCTTCATGTTGTTTGCTCATTTGACAACTACCTCTCCTCTCATCCCCTCTCAGAACAGACCTCATTCCTCCTCTTCCTCCGCTGATCTACACTGCAGTGCCATGAAGCACACACACAGGTGGTGCCAGACCCCTCCATCAGTGACCGTCCGGGTCAAACCCAACAGCGCTCACGCTATCCAAATCAGAAGAGGCCTTCGGTTGAAAAGAGGCAATGGCCAAGACGTCCAGGGCGCCTCAGGGAAGTGCACGCCGAGCCAGCAGCAGGATGAGGCCCGTAACGCCATAATGACCTTCACCCCAACCATTGTCATCCAGCGTCAGGAAATGGTGTCATACTTCAGACTTTTTGGTGAATAGTGATAAGATAAATGACATCTTTGAAGTCTAAGTGATTAATTGTATTTTAAAAGGCTGATTTAAAATGAATCTGTTTACAGATGATGACCTCATACAAGACTTCCTGTGGACCGACTGCTGCCGCAAACTGACAGACAAGGCAGGAGCAGTTATTTGGCTTCAAATTCTTTCTGAAGCTTTACGTTGCTCACTGTAAACTTACTCCAAATTTCTCTCTCTCTCCAATTCATCAGTACCTTCTAGCCATGACCTTCGTGTACTTCAAAAGGGCCCGCTTCACTATTGCCGAGTACACCAGAAAGAATTTTTTCATCGCACTGTAAGTTTTAGAGGAAACGCAAACGCTTTGCGCCGCTGATTTTTCCCCCTCATGGGTGATTTGCTGGCAGCAATGAAACCAGCTCATGTGCTCCGTCTCTAGGTATCTTGCCAACACCATGGAGGAGGACGAGGAAGAGAGCAAGTACGATATTTTTCCATGGGCGCTGGGCAAGAACTGGAGGAAGCAGTTTCCCCGCTTCCTCAAGCAGCGAGACAAGCTGTGGGTTCGCATCGAGTACAGAGCGGCTGTCAGCAGGCGCTGCTGTGAAGAGGTGCACACAAGTTAAATTGCCCGAGGAGACTGATAAATGGTGTTTCCCTGTGAATTTTTTTTAAGGGTCTTGTTTTTGCTAGACAGTGCAATATCTATTTCTTTGGGTTAATGCCAGATATTTGATCTCTGTTCAGATGTTCTGTTTTGTTCTGTTGTAGCTGAATTCATATATTTCTCTCTCTCTCTCTCTCTATCTCCCTCCCCCTCTCCCTCCCTCCCTCCCTCCCTCCTTGTTAGGTGATGGCCATTGTGCCAGCTAACTTTGTGTGGCAGCGGGAGAGATCAGAGCACCACAGCGGAGCCCAGCGACAGTACATTGACAGAGACCACATCCGTATCCCCCGTGGGCCCTCCGCCTCCCCAGTCACCTGTGTCCTCTGTCAGCACAGCACCAGGTTAGACCAGGACCTGGGCTCCCCCCGTCCCAACAGAGGTTCTTCTGCACAGAGCCACAACACCGCCTATCCAAACCCATTCACGGCCTCGCTGACTTTGGAGACCACCCCGCTCAGGGCTGCAGCCTCTGGAAGGAAGGCAGCAGAGACTAAAAGCCACATCCAGTCTTCCTGCTGCTGTGCTGAGGGGGTTCCTAGTAGGTATCACTATATGTGTTTCTCCCCCCACCTCCAAAATCAGGACATAGTCGCACACTGACGATGCCCTGATTGTGACCTCACTTCTAAGTAGGCTAATCCATTATTCAGTCACATATCAACCCTTTATCTTGGAAAAGCTTGGAAGAGCAGGCTACACTTTGATATTATGCAACCGATACATCCCTAAAACTCCCATCAGCCCTCTCGGCAAATGCCCCCAAAACATATGGACGCTCACTTCCTGACAACTGCTAGAAGCCGACTCATCCGTGACTCTCACTAACTTCTGACTATCGTCTCTGCTTCAGTGGCGTATGTCCCTCCAGGTGAAGACTCCGGTCATGTGCAGTGAGAGCAGGTTGGTTAGTGACAGACAGGTTCACCAGCCAATCCTTTCAATTGGACCAAATGAAATGATTGGTCATGTTTATTACAGTCCTGTGAAGGAGTGTGACGAAGGGAAATAGAACAAATAGAAGAAATTAGAAAAATTTATGAAAATTCAATTTATAAAGATTTATTACGAAATAGAAGATTAATTTGATAAAAGTGGGATCTTTGGGATCACAAAAATACCTTTAAAGATGGAGCCCACTGCTGGTCAACAGGACAAAAAAAACATTTAGGCTGGGATGGTAGTAAAATCAATTCTACTAAACTTCTTGAGCTTAACACATGAGCTTTTTTATTTATGATGCCCTTAAGAAATAATGGCAGATTAAGAAGTTTCTCTTGCCAGCTAAACTGTAGAAAGCTAAAAGGCTCCAGAACCTGCAGGAGCCATAAACTACACATTTCTCTTAGATTTAACGATGCAGATAAATGTTGTTTGCCACACACTTTAACAGAGTAGACAAGGTTGAATAACTAAAGCAAAATAATAAAATGACAGAATGACACTCAGAGTTGATAATGCACATCTTCATGAAATCATCACCACTGGCTTTGAGGTTTAATACGAGTTTAAAGGAGCATCTGTCTCCAGCAGCATTATTATCAATCATGCTTTACTGTCTGAAACTAACTTGCCCCCAGTAACATACAGCAAACTGAGAACTGTAGACTATTAACTGCACATTTTTTTAATACCATGCAATTCCAACCATTACACATTTTTTGCATAAACTTTTAGCTGCTGCTAAAGAGACATTTCTATGGAAATCAGTTTTTTTTATTGGGAAACGGAGCCCTTGGCGTGAACGAGTGAAAACATTTCCACCTCTTAGTTCAGGGAGTCTCCTACAGGATTGTGTGTCGATGTGATTCAGGTGGATTACACCTGTGAGGAATTTCACAGAGCAGGATTAGGAATTTAAACTGAAAAGATTGTGCTATATCCCAGCGAGACAGACTTCAGTTCGCAGAGGATGAGTGTTATATTGGGGGATAGGATTTATTCCAGCATATTAATGACCCCCTATAATTCGGATTTAGATCATTTTCCATGTTTCTTTTTAAAGTTATCTTGTTACCAGTGTCTGCTTAGAGAGACACCTCACTGGAATACGTTTGTGTACCCAGTATAAACTCTGAGTCTGTTTGCCAGGCTGCTGCTGCTCTCTGCCTCTGGTAATATTTGGATGTTTGACATTTTCACATGTTCTTTCTGTGTTTTAGACTGGCACCGTATATTTACGGAGCACTTTATTAGGAATACCTGTACACCCACTTATTCATGCAAACAGTCATATGGCAGCAGTGCATGAAACCATACAGATACAGGTCAGGAGTTTCAGTTAATGTCCACATTTAACATCAGAATCTGACATCAACAACATGAATGGACCCAAACTGCCTTGTGTCAATAGTTCAGACTGTTGGTGGTGGGGTAATGGTGTGCGATGTTGATGTGAGCCCTTTAATACCAATCAATCATGGTTTAAATGTCATGGTTCATCTGAGTGTTGCTGCTGATCCTGTGCATCCCATCTGTACTCTGCAGAGAAGTGTTCTGTCTTACAATATAAGCCAACGTGCAAGCATAGTCTGGGCTTATCACTGTTTTCCCCCTAAACACACTCATGAGGAAGGGCGTCAGAATCGGAGTATTTCTGACAGAAGATGTTGCTCGAGCTCCACTGTAATAGGCTTAGATCATTAAAATCGATCCCTCTAAGTTCAGTGAAATTCAGTGTTGTCACCAGATGTGAATCTACTGATTCAAACACATTAAGGGTGTAGTTGAACAGATTTGTAGCATAAATGTGAAGCTGACAACTGCAGCAATGACGTGATAGTCATGTCAGCATGGAGCAGAATCTCTGAGAATCTCAAACGTCTTGTTGAATCCATGCCCAAGAATTTAGTCTTTCTTAAAGGTCCAGTGTTTAAGATTTCGGTGGAAGGGAACTATTGACATTTAATGTAGAATAATCCTCATGATGTTTTCACTCGTTCGTTTCATCTAAATTGTATGAATTGTAGTTTTCTTTACCCCGGAAAAGGTCCTTTATATTTAAATACTTTATATTTACATCGAGGGGACCCTCTCTACGGAGGCCGCCATGTCTTTTACATTAGTCCAGACTGAACAAACTAAACACCTTTTGAGTTTTTATGACAATTAAAGGCTACCAGTTTCTTTTTCATGTTTGGAAGGAGAGGGTGAGGTGAGGGGTGTTCAGCTGCAACATGCAATTTCAACACTAGATACAGAATTCTACACACTGTACCTTTAAGCTGCGTGGTGTTCCTAACTACAAGTGTCTGTCTTCCCTCTGTCAGGGGATGAGTTTTCCTGTGGATCTACCTTCGACACCTCTATGGACTGGATCAGTGAGGAGTAGAGCGTCACCACCTTTGCAGTTTTACTACGTCCCTCTTTATACAGACAAAGCAGTTGTGTGAATTACCTCCACTCATCTTAAGCAAAGGCCAGAATCACAAGTGTAACTTATGAGTTTGTGTTCACCTCTTCTGCAAACACGGTGCTGAGTTCATCACAACTGCTCAGAACAAAGTTGACAGTTCAAGTAATGGTAAGAATGAGCCAGTGTAATTCCTCTCATCATATTCTGATGGAAACCTGTCGTCAGATTAATGTCATATGCCAAAGAGTATTATTGTAAAGTTTTGTTTAACCTGCACTGAGTTCCTGCTATTTA